GAAATTTAATGGTTTCAATCTGCCCTTGTTTTTTCTTTTTGTTTTTATTTTTGCATGTTATCACTGTGCCCGTTTTTTGCTTTTATTCTTTGTTCCGCAAAGTGCGCTCTTTTAGTTTGTAGTGATGTGACAATATATATGGAAAATCAGGTCCTTATGGTCGTGGCTCCATGTCCATTGTGGGGAGCATCAGTCCGGTTCCTTTTCTCCAGGCAAGTCGTGTATTACATCATTGACACCCTCACGCTTTCCGTTTGGCCAAAGGAACCCTGACCAGCATTGATTACTCCCTGTATCAGGAGGATTGACTGTCAGCGTGCCTTCTCATGAATCCCTCTCAGGTTCTGGAACTGAACCTTCCAACTGTAACTTTCCATACCAAGAATCCTGAGAAGTATTATGACAAAATGTGTCTGCGGCTGCTTTTGGCTGGGATGCAAGTTTATCATGCAGCCGTATGAGAAGAGTGATTCCCCGTTGATATATGTCTGCAGTCACGTAGGTCAAGCGACCTATGCTGCTCTGCTAGTTATAAGTCCTTTACAAGTGGATGAAATGTTGTGTTTGTCCCAAGCAGCTCTTTGTTGATCGCAACTTCTCAAGGGAAACGGTCTCGTCTAGTTTGACTTTGCATCATGCCAGGTGTGCTTCTGATTGGTTTTGGTGGCATCATCATTCTGATCTGTTGATGTCAACAGCAATCTCGAAGAGCAGGTGACCAGTTTGTGAAGGCATGCAGCCCACTTCCAATCGATAATGGCAGACGCCAACTCCCCCTGGAGAACAGAAAGAGAGGAAGATCAGGAGAGATGGGTCTTGTCAAGGAGATGGAGCTGGAAAATGAGGGGAGGAGGAGGGAGATGATGCTGGCAAGGAGAGAGTTCCAAGGTGGTTGCCACCCTCTGTCTTTGCAGGTCCTTCCGGTGCAGCAGGCCTATGACTCCGCGGAGCATATGCCGAACACTCGTCACAGATTAGTGAAAGAAAAGGAAAAGCGCCCGTGGGAGCAACATGGGCGTCTATTGCCATCTCCTGTTTTTGTGGTTGTGAATGAGGGGGAAGCGGACGTGCCTGCCGTGGAAGAGTTCACACCAACAGGCTGCAAGTTTGCCCCTAGGCCACTGATGGAAGATTGTGATGAGGAGGGAATGCCTTCTGTTCAAGAGCTGGTGGAAGAAGACTGGCCATTGCGGGGTGAGCAGAAGCGCTCTGAGAATGTTGTTGCTTCGGAACATGGTCCTGCTCTCCAGCAGGAGGCCCTGCATGATGGGGACAGTGGTGTGGGGATAACAGATGAGAGACAACATCTGAGTGCTGGAAATGAACAGAGACATGTTCAGCTGCTTGCAGAGGAGGCAGTAATCAGCCTCAGTCAGGAGGCCAAAGAGGGAGAGGCAGTACTGCCGCTAACCACTGCCGGGGTGGAAGGAGAAGACAGTGAGAAGTCGGAGGAGAAATGGCTGGTCATGACCTTTGCTAGCGAGGGCGAGAGCTGTTTGGCACCGAGAGGGGATATGCCTCGGATTGCAGATGAAGAAGAGTCACAGACACAGTTAAGTTTTGGATCACGGAGGAATGCGGCAATACTCTCCTGTGCTGGCAGCTCCATTGACACCCTGGTGGTGAAGCAAGACACAGAGGAAGTGGATTTTGGTGATGATAGCTTCAGCATGGTTATTACTGACCTCACCAAAGTCATGGGGAAAGCAGTGCCAGAGGACCAAGGTGAAGGCAATTTCACAGGGGAAGTGATCGCAAGGGAGGAGGAGAGGGTGCAGTCAAAGCATGTGAAGCAGGACATGAAAGTACCGCTGCAGATCCAGGAGGAAACAGCGGCACAGGAAGGGCAGGACAGGGAGGAGCACAGTGAGTCGCAAGTGGTGATGAAGGAAGCGCAAGGGAAGGGACATATCAGTAAATTGACACCTGCAGACGTGAAATTGCCAGTTTATGAAGGAGGCGCTCTGGTTGAGAATGAACGCTCGGTTATCAGCCAGGATCGTAAACTGGTTTCCCGTGAGCTTCATCGTGGATGTAATGATTGCAGTGCTGAAGAAGAGGCTGATGGGAAACCCTCACTTACCATTCTGGATCAATTTGAAGCAGAAGCAGTCTATCCTGTTGTTGGCGAAGACGCAGAAAGCATGACCGACAGCAACAAGATGAATGCGGCCAACATCCTCTCTTCATCTGCCTTCTTCTCGGACATCGACACGAGTATGAACGCTGATGAGGTGTTGGCCGTGCCAGATGATGGCACACCGGAATTGCAGGCCGAATTGTCACTGTTTGGTTTCTCCGTCCTTTCTGAGGAGGAGGTCATGGAGGCAATCCAGGTGGACGAGAACGACTTTGAGAAAGAAATGGTTGAGGTCTCTATGATCTCCGTGGAGGAGGAGGAGGAGGAGGAGGAGGAGGAGGAGGAGGACGGCGAGGAGGAAGATGCAGATGGTGATGAGCTCTTGGAGTGCACGGAAGTGGGAACTGCAGTTATAGACACCAATGTATCCTTCCCAGAATCAAGGATCTTCTGTCCTATAGCACAGGGAGGGGAGGTCAATCGAGCAATAGAGCTAATTGGCCATGCTGCCGAATGCCAAGCTATGGGGGTCGATGATGTTGCCATCGAAAAAAGCGCTCCAGTTTCATCTGTGGAAAAGAGTGCGCCAATCTCAAGTGTTGATGTTGCGAGTTTAGATCAACTGGCAGAATGTGCCACCATGTTGGCCAACCCAGAAATTGATAGTGGGAAAGTGGATGTGATCTTTCAATTCGTTGGAGGGCGCTGCAGCTCTCCTAAGGGTTTGCGGGCCAGTCGGTTCCCGAATGAAACAGGAGTGCTCACGACTGAACAAACCACGAGGATGACATCTGTACACGAGTCCTTTTGGCCCAGGGGTGACCCCGATGGCTGTGAGCAGAATAAACAGGTCAGGGTGGATCTCTCTCTCTCTCCCTCCAGTGATCCTTTTGTGCCAGTTTGCGAAGTGGACACATCTTCCTTTGTTCTGGATGGTGAGTCGGATAGAGACAAAGATGGCTGTAGCTGTTTATCTGATAACGGCGAAGAAACAGAAGAAATATCGAGTGAATTGCCTTTCATGCATTTGAAAACCGGAACCCCTGTTTTGGGTAAAAATTCTTCTAGTAAGAAAAGGCAACAGGTCTTGGAAGAAGATGAATCAGATATGGACTGGGTCTGTTCCATTGAGGCACACCTTATGCAGTTGGGGGCAGAGAAGAAGGAGACTGGGAGCTGTGAAGAAGCTGTGATCTCTGTGACCTCTGTCCATGGTGGAAATTTGAAAATGAGGCACACTTCATATTACGAGGAGGAGAAACAGTTAAGAGATGAGGGCCGAGTTGTACCATTTGCGATGTCTGTTGCCTCAGGCCAGGGTACAGTGATGCGGAAGGAAGAGGAGGAACTCAGTGCTGTGGAGGAATCTGCACGCAGTTGCTTATCCTTTGATGACAATGAGGAGGAGGACGGAGGGGAGAAGGACATGGGAGCAGAAAGTACCTCTCCTTTTGCTCTTGATGGCAAGAATGGCTGGACGACGCCCAAGTTGGAGGCACCGGAGGAGCAGGCCGAGGATTTATTTTCTCAAGGAGAGGACCTTGGGTTGCGGCCGGGTGAGAATGGTGGAGATGATGACCGTGATGGTGCAGATGGAAGTGTGCTTCCGTTAAATGTGGCTAAGGATGTGCCAATCAGAAGGGATGGCAGCAATTCTTCTAAAGCCTCCTCCATTCGCTATTCAGAGCAACCGATACAAGTCTCTCTTTCTCCTACTCCTCGGATGTGTGCAGTACCTTGTGAAGTGCGAACGTATGCAACTGATTCCTGGGAGGCTTCTGAGGGGAAAAACCGTTCAGCGGATGAAGACATGTGCTCCAGAGCACCCAGCAATGATGAAGTGCTGCACTCTGAAAGGGTGGGGGAAAAAGAGCGACAGATGGACTCAACAAGGTCTACCTCCTCAGCATGTGGATGCTCCCTACCTCAGCCAGAGGTGGCTGACAAGCAGTTGAGGGGGGATGGAAGCAAGCCAGATGATAGTGGGAATGACCTCGGGATGGATAGTGAGAGTATGAAACACATGGAAACAGATGCTGCGCCGATTCTGAGGCATCCAGAATCTATCGAGGTGCTGGATCATTTACGGGAAGTCGCAAAGTCGTGGGATAGTGGCAGAGACACAGCCAAAAATGATGTCCATATTCAGAAGCAGCAAATCATGAACCATGATAGACATGAAAACAGTGGTGATAACGACGATCAAATGGTTTCTGGCAGAAACGCGATGGCTAAGGTGCACGAGACCACGAGGAGGCAGCAAGATCAGCAGCAGGCTGTCACATCAATGTACTCACCGTCTGCCTGCTCGACAGCGTCTAGTTGCGGTACGCATGATTCTCTGGCTTGCGCAGACGGAACCCATTATGAAGAAGGGAGGTGGGATGATTCTACCTCTGCTGTTAGTGGTGGCGATGCCATTGACAAATTCTCCTTCTGGAGGAAAAAGAGCAAGGGAGCTGCTACATCGCCTTTGCAACCTAAGTCTGGCAGCCTTTGTGTGAATGTGGGGAGGGCCCCAAGGGAGAAGGATTCCGCCACTCCAGCCTTGTGCGGACTTCTTGGTAGAAGGTTTGGGAAACAGCAGCCTAATGTTCTGTCTGTTCTCTGCCATAGTGGGGAGCCAGAGAGGCCTGCGGGCCACCGGGCTCAGGTCACTATGGGAAGTGGGAATGGAAAGGAGAACGCTGTTTTGCGGGATGGGAATGCTTTGGCGGAAGAAACCAGCGTGTCCACGAGTGTTATGACCGAAGAAATCTCCAAATCGACACACTGGACTGATCCAAAGGTCAAGCTCAGCAGAGCAATCAGGTGCTCAATTACAGCCGCTGCTGTGGCAGTTAAACCCCCAACACCCAAAATGTCCGCAGGCTCAAAGAACAGTGTTGTCATCTACGGGTTGTTTGATGAGGAGGATGATCCAACGGCCCATCCTCGCCTTGAGGAGGAAAAGCAACCCATTGTCAGAACGCCAACGCGAGTTGGCGTCAGCGTCCGCAACCTTGTCAAAGCTTGGGAGAAGGAGGTTAAGACAGACGATTCTACTCCTGTTCACAGTCCTAGGCATACCCCATATCAAACCCCTCGTCAGACACCGCGCCAGACACCGCGACAAACACCACGCCAGACACCAAGAAGCATGCCCAGAAGCTTTCAGAGAAACTAAGGGTGCCTGTCCTGACTTCGAGGCCTGCATTTGAGTGCGTGGCACTGTGGGCATGTATGTGTGAGGCAGGGATAGAGAGAGAGAGGGCGGGGCCGGGAGGAGAGTGTTGTGTCAGAACGGGAAAGAACAGGAACCGAGGGAGCTTTGGCGGTTTCAGGATAGCGAGCAGGGTTATGATAGTCTCGAGGGACAGAAGCCAGTTCACAAGGGTACTTGTGAGGCAGGCACGAAGTAAGAGAAGATGCGCAGACGCACTGAGAGCAGCGATGGAGAGGTTAACAGCGGCAGGCCAGTGCAACAAGCTATCCGGGTAAAAGCGAAGATGGGGTTGGTGAAATCACTACGATATTGTAAGGTTGGTGAAATCACTGCGGTAAAAGCGAAGATGGGTTTTTTAACTTTTTAGGTGTGAATGTGTATACCCTTCTGCAGATGTCATTTGTACCCCTTCGTAACTTCTGCCACTTGTCACGAAGGGGTACAGAGGGGTAGGGTAGGATAACAGAGGGGTAGGGAAGGATGGAGCCGCGAGCAACAGCAGTCGGCAATGCTTCTCCTTCCAAATTAGGAACAATTTTGCTACCACAGGCACCTTATGTTTTTGTAAGATTTTCAATACCGTTCTTTTTATTTTTCTCTCGGAAGATATGCTCGCTCGCTTTTTTGCAAGGCAACGAGGGCCATCTTCTGTTGTGCTCAACAGGAAATGGTCTCGGAGGGGCTGTTTGGCGAGTAAGTTTCGGTATCTGTGTTGCTTCCTTTATGACATACACATACGCTGGTGCTGGGTTGCCGTCAACTTACCGAGCCACCGCCGGGCTAGCAAGATCAGATGACATTTGTGACTTGTCAGACACTTTTTTTCCCTAGCAAGATCAGAAGACAAGTGCTGTCAATGACTGCCCGCTTTTGTCATCGTAATATATTTTCAGTCGGCAGAGGTCTGGGCGTGGTGATCAACCTACCGTAACTGGGTTGTTCATGTCAGAACTTCTCAGAAAACGAAACTATATTGAGCCGAGCACTCGGAGCTTCAGCTCCGTTAGGGATGCCGTGCTGGCTTTTCTACGTTTTCCAAAAGCCATTTTATGGGCTGCTGAAGTTATGATGCTTATGAACCTTTTCGTTCGTTTTCATATACTCAGCGGGCTTCTCTCGACTGGAAGTCTCTCACACATGTGTTGATTGTGGGAGCGTTCAAAAGCACAGCCCCGAGACTGCTGCCAGCGTGGTGTCGGTGGTCGGCGGTCGGCGCAAAGTAGAGCGCACTGGCAGAATAGGAATAACCATCCCACTCTGGTTTATAGATGGAGGGTTAGCTATGGGACGGTACATACAGACGCATAGGCCACTGGTGCTGCTAGGCAGCGCCGATGTAGGACGCATGCCAGGGTGGTGGCAGCGAAGAAATGGCTGCTGTGTGGGTCGATTGGGTCTGACCCGCATCAGGGTTGGTCTGCATCACGTTTGGAAAAAACTGCCTCCAACTGTGTTATCTCTACTTCTGCTCTCTCTTCCGTTAGTTGCTGGAGGCAGCAAAGGGAGGGGACACCGAGCAAGGAGCTCTTCTTGATTGATGGCGGTCGTTGGAGAACTGTGTGTTGTTTGAACTCGTTTCTCTCATTAGAGCCTTTGCGGCAGCTGCTGAAGAGCGGCAATCGACTACTACTCTGTACGTTCGATCAATCATTTACGAATTACCATACATCTTCGCACGGGTCTTCGTTGTTTTGTCTTGGCGTAGCTTCATTGACTTTACGTAAAGCAGACAGTTTGTGCAAGCAAGTGAGCAGTGTCGTGTGCCGATGCGGTGATATGATTTTGCACCTACGGGTTTTCACAGCAACGTATCGCATTCCTGACGCTGCCGTGGTTTTGGAACTATGCTTTGACTGCAATACTGCAAAGTCATCCGATCCATTAAGTTCTCGCAAGCTACATGTGCATGGGCTTTTCCTGAGGTGTTGGGCGATTGCGATGCAACTCAAGTGGGCTTGGTTGGAGTCGAGGCTAGCTCTCAACTGCCTGTGCATTGTCTCGGCCGTAGTGGTTAAGATACTTGTCTCTTGTGGCCAAGGTCGCCGGTTCAAACCCATACTTGCACGGCGGAGGGCTTATAGGCCTATTTGTGCGGATCATGAACTGCTGAACTGCATTGAAGACTGGAGACTCAGTGAAGAGTTCTACCTGTGTTTCTTCGTGAAGGGTGGCAAAATGGTTCTGTGTCTGCTTTTTGCAGTAATGAGCAGCGTTTCGAGATCGGTTCTCTCCTTGCTGACAACTGGACACCATGAGTGCAATTGCGAGGGCGAACTCTGGAGACCGAGATGATGCCATGGCATTCCATCGCATCAGTACGGGGGAAAGGATGTTTTCCTTCCACAAGTTGGAAGTTACAGTGGCCTCCGACTCTCTGAGTACCGATCGATGGTTGCACTTTCTCAACTTGAACGGCGATAATTATGAACTCAAAATAAGATGTCCCGCACATGAAATGCAGGAAGAATCTTAAGCAAATGTCTGGTGGCACATGCAATGGAGGAAATCCTAGGCAAATGTCCGGCACATGCAATGGAGGAAGATTGTGCACATGCAATGGAGGAAGATTGTGTTGCTTGAATTTGAATGTTTAGGGTTTAGGGTTTAGGGTTCAGTGTTTAAAGCAAGGGGGCGAGAGGCTTCCAGATGCTGCTGGAATTAGTCATATGGATGTTATGCACTCCAGGGAAGCTGCTGAGGCTGCAGCAGCTGGATAAAATGAAGAGTCGGCAGCCTGATCAGGACGAAGAAATGGAGTGCACACATCCAGAGGTAGGCTCTACATGGCCAGCTCGGCTTTGTTTTGCGATGTAGTGAGGAGAGGACGAGAGGAAGAGAGAGGAGGGAGAGGACAGCGAGAGCAAGAGGAAGGGATAGCGAGGAAGGCAGACAGAGAAAGAGCGGCCAAAGGCACCATTTTACACACACACACACACACACACACACACACACAGAGGGGGCCGGGGGGGGAGGGAGAGATGAGGGGGAAGAGAGAGAGAGAGAGAGAGAGAGAGAGAGAGAGAGAGAGAGAGAGAGAGAGAGAGAGAGAGAGAGAGAGAGAGAGAGAGAGAGAGGTTATTCTTCTTGGTTTTATTGTGGTGCGTCCAACTCCCAAGGTACTTCCCGGAGACCTGGACATGATGGCAACTCATGCAGTTATGCTACTTGTGCAAGTTCTGCTGACTTCGGAGAGGCACGTCGTTTGGGATGATCACATGAGGCTGAAGCAGTCTGCTACCCCTCAAGTTGAGCAAGCAGTTCAGCATTTGACACAATTCATAGCAGCAGTGACACACATGAATTCCGTGACACCTTGTTGGGAAGGTTCGTGTTGAGATTAACACCGGTGACACCACGAGTT